GAGTAGGTGTACTATTCTAGAGACTAATTCAAAGTCCGAAGGACGAGCTGGAGTAGTTTCTCTATCTGGTACTGTAATATTCCTGATTCTGTCCCTGAGGACATTGTTTGTAGTAATATAGTCAAAGACCGTTCTGAACTGACGAGCTGTAAGCTCTTCGACAGTATACGGCTCAACCTGGAATGTACTATGAGGGGTCACAATGGGCCTACGTTGTAGTGTACTAGGCGCAGGATTGACTCTGAGTGGCGGTTCCGCTCTTCCATCCCTTTCTCTCTGCCTGTCTCTCCTGTCCATGTACTCTTCTAAGAACGTAACGACGGCTTCCATCCTTTCCTTCCTTCTTTTGAGGGCTTCGTCCTTTTCTTCTCTATCCCTCTGGATGTTTCTTCCAGCCGTAATTGCCGTCTCCCACGATGTGCCTGGCACTGTAAAAGTTGACTGAGTGGGGGCCATCGTAGTTGGTGCCCATTCCCCTGGATCGACATTATGAACTAATGGAGGGTTGGTCTTGCCAACCTCTGAAGTATCCATCTCTTCTTCCCCATCTGTCGCATCTTTCGCCTTCTTTCCCGCGCTCGATGTCGACGTCGCCGTCAAAATCTCCACGTCCGCTTCGTTTCCGTCCTTCTCCTTTTCCTTCGACACAGCCTGGGGACCTTCCGAAGATACCTGCTCTGCCCAAGAGCTGCGAACCTCGGGCTCCACAAATGGAGACGATGTGGAAGGGGGGCGGGATTGATCTGACCCAACTGGCGGACGTGAACTACCACGGGGCGGTTGAGCCGGTGTGGACTGAGGGGGACGAGATGAACTATGAGTAGCACCAGAAGACCTACCTCGAACAGATGCTCGACGAGACCAACCACGAGTACTACTGGGCGGATCCTTCCTAGGATTCTTTTCCGGAAACACCATGATCGCAATAGAACGCACTTAACCAAGTCCTATAATAGCTACCACTGAGATCACTAAGATAGGTTGGGACCGAAATGGATCGATAGTGCGCCCAGCAATATAGAATATCGATTGAAATTTTTAAGAATCAAAATAATGACTGAACTAGGTGAGAGAATGTTAGTAATCGAAAAAGGGAATCGAAGTGTTAGTACAGCGTAAGAAAATACCTAATCGAGTCAAAATCCGAAAATACGATTTTCGAGTATGACTAGTGATGTTAGAAGAGAAAGAGTTAACTGGACTAGAATAAGTGAATAAAGCACAAATAACTAAAGAAAAACACCGAGAGAAGAAAGGAAACGGTGCTAAACTGTTACTTGCGAAAGTGTCGCCTTTTTGTCTAAGATGAGACTTACTACGGTGGCGACTGTAGTGATGCTAAGAACGACTAGCAGAAACTTACCAACCTAAGACTCGACTGGAGATGAATGAATGTGTTAGTAGAGAAGAAGTTGTTGTTAGTAGAGTGAGAATAATGATAAAAAAGACTGACGCATGATACCGTCAACGACCGCAAGACGAAAATGAGAATTTCTGATTTCGTCATGCAGACGCTGGCGCGCGTCTTACTGTAGATCGCTTCGGGATTAACCCCGATTTGACCTATCGTCACCTTCAGTTATGATGACTGTATTACGTGTTAGTAGGTTACGTTATGTAATGATGGTGTTAGTATCGCGCCGAAACGTTAATACATTTCTTTGTACTATCAAGAAGAGTGAAGAACTGAACTGTCAGGTTAGTACAGAAATGGAAAAAGGGGGGGGGTTAGTTCATGAATGAACTATTCGAGGAAGTAATTGAGTTAGACATAAAGAATCTTGTCATAATTAATAGTCGTGTTAGTGTTTTTGTTAGTTGTTAAAGAAAATTGAACTTACCTGGGAGTTCTTCTTTTCACTCTTCTGTCCGGCTGGATTCGTGTTGGCTGCTCGACTCGTTTTTGCTTCGGCGTAATTGCTTTGTCTTCTGTCGAAACTTCCAGTGGGATTAATTGATTGATTGAACGATCTAAAAATTTATTACCATTAGTCTTTACTTTCACAGAACGGGTGAATCCGTCAACGGATTCGTTGATTTGTACTATGAGGCCAAGAGGCCACGACGACGTGAAATATTCTCTTGTTTTATTAGTACAACATCTCCGACTCTTGGACTACTCTTTGAACCTTGCTTCTGCGGAAGTCTTTTTTGGTTCCGCTCGGCCAGATTCTGCAGATAATCTTTGTGCCAATGCTGCCAGAACGTTTCTAGGGCATCCTGGAGTACTGAGTATGACTGCATTAGTTCTTCGTGAGAGTCGGAAATGTTAGTACTATCGATTGACCCCATATTAGATGGTGTGAAGTATGGGTTAATGAGGTCAATCGGTCGTAGTACAAATCCCGTGTCTGTTGAACTGGTCACCACTGGAGTAATCGGGCGAGTGTTAAGTGTCGCCTCTATTTCTGAAATAAGGGTTTGGAGGGTCCACAGGTCTAGAATCCTTCTGTGAACTGTCTTCTTCAGAGCCGACTTCACGGATCCTACTAATCTCTCGTAGAAGCCTCCTTTCCATGGGGAGAGGGGCGTAATGAACTCCCATTTGAGACTTTGGGATGACGTGAAGTTTTGGACTACGGGGTGTTCCTTCAGTGCTTGTAACTCGTTCGTTAGAATTTCTCTGCCTAGCTTGAAGGTGGGTGCGTTGTCGCTCAGAACTAGGTTCGGAGCTCCTCGTCGTGCCATAAACCTTCTGAATGCTAGGAGGAATTGCGGTGCTGAGTTGTCGGCTACGACTTCCAAGTGCAGAGCACGTGTTGCCATGCACGTGAACAGACACACCCAAACTTTTCGATCTTCACTGGACTCTGGTCGATTAGAAGTGGTCCGAAGTAATCTAGACCTGTGTTTTGAAAGGGTCTGCTTCGTACTACTCTCTGGCTGGGGAGGTCTGGAATATTGGGGTATGAAAAGGATCTACCCTGGTGTCTTTTGCAGGCGACACACTTCGAGATGACGCTGTTCACTACTCTCCGAATTCTCGGTATGAGATAGTGATCCCTCAGCTCCGAGATCAAGTGCGGTGCTCCGGCGTGGAATAGTTTCTTATGCTTCTCCGTAACAATAAGTCTCGTCAACTGATGTTTTGGCAGGAGCAGAATTGGAGCCTTTGCGGACTCTTTCATATCTGCATTCGCCATACGTAGGTTGGCGCGATAGATTCCTTCGTCGTCAAGCGTTATCCGGAGTCGTTTCACCGTGCGACCTAGGAGTTGAAGGTGTCCTTCTCGATAGTGTTCCCGAAGGAGAACGATTCCTGCTGCTTTTATGTCGTCTGCAGTGATCGCTGTCGTCTGTGACACGAGGCTAAAGATCCTGGGTTGGAGTACTGACTTGACCTCCCATCTTTGCTTTTATGCCAGAGTGTGACTATGTACTTCAGAACGTAAGCTGTAATACGAAGTAATTTTGAATATGAATTAGTTTTATGAAATGGAATAAATGAACTGTAACCCTCTACCGATGAAGTAGTTACAGACTTAATTTCTTGCTCTGCTTCTTTCGACATAATTATTTTTGAGTCAAAATTCATATCGTTATTAGGCCAAGTGTCTGGTGGACTAAGGATGAAATCCGGCCCATGCCACCACATGTGCTGTACTAACTCTGAGGCTGATAATCCCCGAGTAGCACAGTCGGCTGGATTACTGTCTGTATTAACGTAATGGAATTTGTATTTAATGTTCTCTCCTGAGAGTTCGTCCACTACTTCCTTAATGAACTTGACCCTATTATTGACGAAAGTCTTAAGCTGCTTATTGGAATGAATCCAGTATAGAGCTATCTGTGAGTCTGAGAGTATCTGTACTGAATTAAGAGACACCTGAAGGTGCTTTCGAAGGAAACGAACCAATTTGGCTGCCAGGACGGAGCCCAGTAGTTCAAGTCGTGGAATAGTAGTCTTCTTCATGTCGGCCAATTTGGCTTTGGAGAAGATCAAGTTGCTGAAGGGTTTTCCTTTTGCAGGTCGGCATACTAGGTATGCTACTGCAGCGTAGACCCTCTGCGACGCATCCGAAAAAACTACTAAGTCGTACTGGACTTTTCCTGTGACTGTAATAAAGCGTGGTACGTTTCCTGCGAAGCCTTCTATGTCCTCCGTGATACTCCTTCCACTTGGCTGTAGTAGACTCATCGAACGGATCATCCCAAGAGTATTTGTTCACCCACAGGTCTTGGATGAACATTTTGGCCTTTATGAAGAGTGGAGTAAGTAGGCCCAATGGATCGAAGGTACAGCGAACGCTTTTAATGCCGTCCGCTTTGATGTAACTTCTTTCAGTGTGGTTTTGACAGGCACAGTCAATGTGTCACTGTCCGTATCCCACTGAATTCCTAACAGCTTCACTGTACTACGCGTCTTCTTCATTCTATCTTCTTCTGGAATGGACTGGACTACTTCCTTATTGTTGGACATGAATTCGCGAAGGTTCATGCCCATCGAAGAGAACGTATCCTTGCATTGCTTTCTTTTTCGAATACCTTCTTCGACCGTTTTGGCGCCGATTAAAACGTTGTCGACGTAGGTATTTGCAAGAATTTCCTCTTGCAGCTGTCCACTCCCGTTTCTTTCAAGAGCGTACTTTATTGACATGCTGAGTAGGAAAGGCGAGGCGTTGACGCCGAAAGGGATACGAGTGAAACGTAGAGTGCGGATGTTGTCTCTTGTGGGTCCCCTTGACGGGTCCTTCAACCACAAGAATCTTGTCGCATCTCTCTGATCTTCCTGAAGTCGTATTTGATGGAACGCTTTCTCCACGTCCGCGATAATCAGTATTGAAGTAAGCCTGGCTCGTAGAAGAGTACCGCACAAATCTGGTAGCAATGTCGGTCCTTGGTGGACGCAGTCATTGAGGCTTGGGACGCCCTTCATATGACTTGAGGCGTCGAAGACAATACGCAATTTTGTTGTTGAGCTGTCTTCCTTGATGACTGCCTGATGTGGTATGTAGTACACCCATTTCCCTGTGATCGAATCACCCTTGACGTCTTCTATGATTCCCGACTTGAGCTGTTGCTCAAATGTTTTGCAGTATTCTTCCCATAGTTTGGGATTGTGGTGGAGTTTGACGTACTGGTTCTCCAACCTTCGTACTGCAAGCGCTTTGTTGTCGGCCAACGGAGGGTGATTGGATTTCCAAGGAAACTGGACATATATGAGACCATTCTCCATCTTGACTGTATCGTAAAAATGCTGTATTATGCTCGCATCTGAATCGTCAATGTCTTCCTTCGTTGCGACCGACTCCAATCCGAAAAGCTGTTGGACTATCTGGTCTGTCTCGACTGAAGAGCTCTGGTGTTCTTCGGCTGAGACTCCATCCGACGTTGAATGCACTCTCGACGATGGCGGTGATTGATATCCTGATAGGACTGGTCCGAACCTTGTGTTTGATTGTACAAGGCCTGAGGGGAGTTGACGGTTTGAATTGAATTCGACGACTTCCCAGTAATAGTCCATGCCTATCAAGACATCAACTTCCGTGGATTTTCCATTTCGAGTACTGCTGCATTCCTCGTCTTCGTCCGTGTCCAACGAAACTGTAGTAATGGACTTCCGTGTCCAAAGGAGGAGTGTTGTCGGTCGACCGTTGATTTTGTTGCGAAGTACGACTTTGACGCGATACGATTTTTCTGTGTGGGAATGGCCTCCGAAGGTGATTGTAGTAATGTCCTGAGGTGTTTCCATGTCTAGGCCCAGATTCTGTGCTGTATCCTCCTTGATGAAACTGTGTTGCGAGCCACTATCGAGGAGCACTGTGAGTAACTGCTCCGTTTTGGTGAACTTGTTGATTGTTAACGCTCTGATTATCATGAGACGTGGAGGATTGAACAGACTTGCTACTTCTTGTCTGGTAGCTCTGGCGTTCCTGTTCCGGTTCGTCAACGTTGTGATTTGAGTAGCGTTGACTTCCGGAATCTCTTCTTCCTGATAATCAAAAAATCCTTCCGCTTCACTTTCCGAGGGGGTTTCGTATTTCCTTGCTCGAACTGGACTAGGGGAGTGATTGGAGTATGTGTGTGTCGTAGGCGAGCGTCTGAACCCTACTTTTGGGTGAGGGGATCCTCTACGGTAACGGTCCGTTCTTCTCGTAGGGGATCTTCCTCGTGGCTCAGGGCTCGATGACGGAGATCTTGCTCTGTACCCTCTTCTTGAGTTTGCGTCTGAGGAGTAACTCTCGGCTGACTCTCTCCTTGTACGCCTTGGAGTGGGGCTGTTAGACCTGCTGGAACTGCGTACTTTATCCTCTTTGTAACATAGGGATTTGTGATGGCCACGGCCACATTTGTAGCACTGTGGAGCATCACAATGGGATCCTCTGTGTCCGTGTTCCAAGCACTTCCAACAGAGACGTGACTGTATTACCAATTTTCTTCTCTCGTAAGGAGTAACCACTTCTTCGCAATCTGCCGTCGTGTGTCTTCTTCTTAGGCAGAAGTTGCAGCGAGGCTCCTGTAGTTTCTGAGGTTTCCTCATGTTGTGAGAATACCTCTTTGGTGATCTGTCTCTGCTGGAACTTGGACTTCTTTCCTTCGACCATCTCCTCAAGATTGTGTTCTTCGGTCTTGGACTACTACGTCTTTCGATGACTGCATGCGACCTCGATCTGACCTGAGGAGTAGGATCCGTATCCTCCATCACTTCCAGCTGGTCAATGACCTTATCGAAGGCGTCAAGTAGCTCCTCAGCCGTCCAATTATCTCCTCTTCTACGCATCTCTCCGACTTTCTCCCTTGTCTTCTGAGGGAACTTCGATCTGATTATCTTCATGGTCGCCGTCGACCCAGGTTGCTCCTTTAAGTTGGTGAGTTGGACCCATATCGATTTGATTTTGCATAGTGTAGTACGTTGATCCGTTGGCGTAGGCTCTGCTGGTGGTAGAGCCTCGAGCTGATCCACGAGTTTGTTTCGTAGTACATCCGGTCTATTGTATGTACTAAGAAGAAGTTCGATAGCTCTCGGATAGTTCTCATCGGACAACTGTACTGACGCTATTAGGTCCCTTGCTTTTCCCCTTAATTTACTCTTAAGATGGACGAACTTTGAGG